GGCGATATAGTAAGCGACTGATGCCTTCAATATATTGATTTAGAAGAAATTTAGTTTTCCTGGGTTTTTCAAACATTGACGTCTTTTTAAATCGTTTTCTTCACTAATGAACCCTACCGTGTCACAATTACAACGCCGCAACAGCTCGAAAACTTAAGTAGTTTTTCCTATGTTCCTATATGTGGGTGTACTTCCGAAAAGCGCATACCGCCGATCGATCTGAAATTTGGTATACTTATGTATTTTGACCTCCTAATCACGAATACCATAGCGAAAATTGGCGCAAACGCCGTTTTGAATATGAAAATCGAAAAAAACCTCTTTACGTTCAGTGTGCCTAATCACGCATTTCTAACCAATGTAGACTATTTGAGCTTTTCCCGAAAAGGGTGTGTGTATGTGTTTGTGTGTGTGTAACCATTTTTTACCCATAGCGATCCAAGTTCGTCAAAGCGTTGGAGGTTGCATGGCCGAAAAGCGCAGACTAAACTTTGCACATGTCCGCTATACAATTTCAACTTTGTGGTGATTTTCCACTGTGGTACATGAACTCGGTGAATACTTTTCGATATTGCAATCAAACTCAGTGAATAATTTCCATTTACTTTCGGCTGTCAGATACAAACTGCGTATATTTTCCTTTATATTAGTCGAAGTCCGAGAATGTTTTTTACTGTAATAGTCGGCCTATGGAAATATTTGCCGCTTTTGTCGATAGACTTGAGATCTATTCCCGCTATAGTAGCCTAATTCTCGAGTGGTTTTTTGTTCTCCTAATCGACCTGGGAATATTTCCCGCTGTAGTAATTCCATTTCGTGAAAATTTTTTGATTAGGCACACTGAACGAAAAGAGGTTTTTTTCATATTCAAAATGGCGTTTGCGCCAATTTTCATTATGATATTCGTGATTAGGAGGTCAAAATACATAAGTATACCAAATTTCAGATCGATCGGCGGTATGCGCTTTTCGGAAGTTTATCCCTATATGTTTTATGTATAACTATTTAAAATGTGTGGGCGGCAAGACAATTAGTTCACGTAAGACAAACCGAGAGACACTCTAGCATTACAATATCTCCGATCGTTGTAAACAGTTGTTAAACGCTTCAGAAATTTCTATAGCCGCTAAGACAGACGTCATTTGTTTGCCGTCATTATTGTTAATGTGCCCTGTCAAAACACCGCCAGCCGCCGCCACCGGTAAGACGCTGTCGAACAAAAAAGTAGTCGAACCGGTCCACTATGATGTTCTTAGGGATTCCTAAACTTCCGATTCATAACTTTTAACGTCCAAGCCTCTCTAGGTTACATTCTCAACAAAACCTTCTTCCTAAATTGTCGCATCAATGATTCGGGCGTAAATGCGTAGTTCTGTTTAATATTATTCGTGCGGTAAATTGCGCGTGCGCAGCCAATTCAGCATTCATAACTAGACGAAGAAAATATTGTCGCCTGACGTCCTAATCATTATTTATATCTGCTCATTATTAATTATTAATAATAACCAAAATAGGCAGTAAAATGATAAGAATAAAACACACATAAATAAATAATAATACGCCACTATAAACTAGTTTAAGCTAACTACCATACGATCACATTTTCCAGGTAAGTTATTATACCAGTTAAGTGAAGGTCCAAGAAATGATTAGCACGTCGCTGTGTTAAGTCCCATTTTACTATTATTATGTCCTTAGAGATAATAACGATTATTACAATGTAAGGTGGCAAATTGCTTCGCGGATTTGCGTAAATAAATAATAAATACCAATCTCAGATAAAAAAATTGGTAATTTTAGGATCATGATAAAGTGATAAACATTGTCGTTACGTCATTGCCACATTAAAAAATAACTGAAGTAAAAGTGTAAGCGTAAAAGCAGCAAAACTCCGTTACTCTTAACATGAAATATTTTTTATAACACACCAATTTTATTGCACGTCAGCGAGGGGCATCCATAATGGGAGGTAATTTACTGTTTCTTATTATAGACGATTAAGTGCTGTTTTTATTGCTGTCATTGTTTCAGTAGTACACACATTATCGTAAAGGCTTGAGAAAGGAATTAAGTAAAAAGTTGCGATTGCCTTATGAGAGCGGGCAGTGTAGGGCAAGTCCAAATGTGTTTAAGATCGTGCTATTCCTTCGAAGGCGGTAACAACCTCCTTATGGTTCAATGGAGTTCAATGGCGCCACATAGCTTTTTATACAATGGATTTATATAGAGTACAATCAAAGCCTTTGCTTATTATAGCGGTTTTGAAACGACTATGTCGAAGCCAATTGAAGAGTATTTTGGTTTAGCTCTATTAGAAATAATTATTGCTGTACCTAAAAATTATACTACTGTATTGCTTTTCGATAAATTATGTCTTAATACATTTAAAATAACAATTTACTTATGATATTTGTAACATGTTTTAGTTTTGAATGTAGTTAAGTTATAGTTTTCTTAAATTTCCTCTTTTATATACAATTTAAATGACGTTCGTATATTTTCATGCTTGGTATACCCCGGTCACATAACATCTAAACTAAACGCGCTGTCTACCTATTTTGGTTTTAGATATTCTAAATACGGGACGTGTATATATGTATATACATTAAATACATACATATATACACGTCCCGTATTTAGAATATACATAAATTATACATATATGTATAATTTATGTCATAACGGTGGCCCAAATGAGCTCGTTAACACTAAATCTCCATTATCTATTGTTTAACGAACTCGATGGGACGAGCTTCGAGTCTAGGTCGTACGTCACTATTAGTCTAGACTCCAACCGGGTCAGCGCCAAGATTAGGCGCTAAACAGTATACACAGGTATATTTAAGTTTATGATAACGAGAGACTATCTTTCCGGGAAATTAGAGTTGTAAAGATTAGAGTTTTAATACAATCTTACATTACGTACTTACAGAATAAACATTATATGTATAATTTAATGAACTTTATATTTTATTAGCCGCAAAATGTATTCAAGTGTGTTAAGACATTTTGTTTAAACAAGTCGTTGTGTTGAGCAGATAGCAACAGTTAGTTTAATATATAATATGTTCGTATACTTAAGAATAATATTGTAGAAGTGCGGTTCTCTGGGATTTAAAATGATCCATGAAACATGTGTCAAATCTCATACCATTGGACGGTTGTCGTAAAGTTAATTACGGAGGAACACGTAAAATCACTCAAAGAACTAAATTAAACAATCTCTTGGCGCCACTTCCCAACAGCCGCGTCGGATCCAAAAGAAAACACACAAAAACACAATCACAAAGGAAGACTCGTTGCCTGGCGCCAGCTTATCATGCGGCACGTGGCTCGTACCTTCCGCCCTTCTTTTTCTATTTAATCGAAACATTCTCCGGACAGATCTACTCTCATATTGAAGAGATAAGAAGTTTGTTTCGTTGAACGTGCTCAATGTTCTACAAATTTCAAAGAAATGTTTTAGTGCTTTAACATTATTTTTCACATGACAGAAACAGCACGGAATTTTTGAGGTATATTGTTTTTCAATGTAAAATTATTTTTAAATTAATCAGAATCTGGTTATTGAAACCGGCCGTTAGGTTCCGTTTCTGTGAAATGTGACTTTAATTGCGGAATACAAGTAAATAATAAGTCTCTTAAAAGTCGTACATTGCATCAGAGGTTTGTTGAAATTACAGTGAGTTATGTAAAAGATGAAACTGTCGAAAAAAACGTCAACCTTTAGTAATAAATTACGCGCCGCTTATATAGACATTTGTTTATGGTAAAACATGCATGTCTGTCAGTCAGGGCCCCAATTTGGCACGAAACCTCTATAGAAAATATCATTACCATGTTGAGACATCCGACGGCCTACCAAAGGGACTTTTCGACACTGACAAAATTAACGTCACATTGTATATGCGGAATGATATATTGGCTTCGACCAAAGTTAAATATTGAAGATTTTTTTGTGCCTGGACAAATGTCACTATTCTTTAGTTATGTAATGGTCAGCGTTGCCAGTGCTGGATTACGTCAGGGATAATATTTACTAAATTTAGTGATTACAGAATCGAGCAAAAGCTGGATTCGCGGTCTACTTTTAAATCCAGCACGACCATTATGGTATAATGTAGATGATCAATCCGACTTGCTTAATTTGGAAATTTATTTAGACAATATTCACAGTTCCTTTCATATTTATAATTTAACTGTTAATTTCTTTAAATAGTCGTTATAATAATAATAATAAATAAAGTATTTATTCAGGGACCATATTTACATTAAACTGTTTTTGATCTGGAAACCCTTTTAAGTAAATAATACCCGTGCCAGGGTTTCCAGCTCTTCCATATCATTTAATAATACATTATTATCGTTATCAGACAAACTTTCAACTGGAATGTGCTAATGACCTATTTGTACAATATTGGCAAGACCAACCGTACAAAAGCCAAAACAATCGGAACATAAGTGTAATAATTTAAAATCCGCAAGGCGTTAATTTATTTTTAGGTCGGATGTGTACTAATTCTCTATTTACATTGCGCGAAGAATTGTTTGAGTGGGCATAGTATGAGATAAAATTATCTACCTAATAACGAAAAATTATATAACCCGTGTAGCACTTGAGAGATAGCGAGCTCACACAGTGGGCGAGTCTACGGAGCGCTGTTTTAGTATTTCATTCGTTTCTGAACGTACTCTGAACTGGAGGATTTTTTTAAACGGAAAAATATAATTTTTTAAATCATTTATAAAAGAAACAGGTATTATTTAAAAGCGAAGTGTTGTAAATGTCTTATTATAGTGTCTAATTTAGAATATTTGTTTCAGGTACACTATAATGAAAGTGTTCAAGAAAAGTGCTGCGAAAACTATACTTTTGAAACACATACACAAGAGATCACATAGTATCTCTTAAACTCAAGCCATATAGGGATTATAGGGAGAACTTAGTATGTCAAATTCGTAGCGAAATATATTGACAGTGACGGCAGCGATACAGGAAGATGCCTGCCGGTAACTGCGAAGTGCTTAGGAAGATGGACATCAGAAGATCGCTGTTTAAGCTACTCCTCTTTCAAGTGTTAATAGTCCGTTGTACGGCGAAAAGCATAGCTGAAAACACGCCGAGGGCACAAATTGTCGGCGACCTGGAACACACTATCCAGAATAGCATAAGAAACCTTATACACTCCGGTGAGTTATTTTTTTTTGTTAAAGACACAGGCGGGATTTATATTTTAAAAAAATTGTATATTTTGTTTCGCCCAATTTGCACTAACGTTTTTAACTTTTTTCTTCTTACATCCTGGGTTGCCTGGAGAGATCGCTGGTTGGCGATAAGGCCGAGCATTGCACTCCATATTTTTAATATCTTGTTTGTATTATTTTTTTATTATTGTGCAATAAAGTGTTAATAAAACAAATAAATAAATATAGACAAACGGTCTAGTGATCTAATGTACATTATTCGACTGATTACAATGTGCTGTTCTTCCAATTTAGATTAAACAAAATCTATTTAACGGTTCGAAAATCGAAGCAATGATTGGCTAATAATAAACGGATCTTGAGTTCCGTACCCGTCAGGTCAAATATTTAGAATTTTTCTAAACATGTTGGACTTCAAATACTGTCTATAGTTTACGCGAGTAGTACACATTTAAATAAAACACTTTAACGGTTTAAAACGCGATATATTAATTAAACTTATTTGAAAAGCATCCGAAATGTCGGACCGAAGTTAAAAATCATTTTCAAATAAGTTTAACTAATATATCGCGATTTAAACCGTTAAAGTGTTTTATTTAAATGTTGGACTTCGTCTGAAAATTTGGATTTTAAATGGGTGGTAGGTTCAGTTTAATCGCGTTTCGGTTTTAGCCTTTGGATTTCCGAATATCCAAGGTTAAAATAGATCGACAGCGTATTTTGTTTTCATCTTATATGGCAGTGGTATTTCACCTAACATTAGGTAAACCGCGTGCTCGCCTATATCGCTCATAAAAAATGTTAATTCCTATTACTAAATTCGTTTATTGAAATATTATGTAAATTCAAATTTGCTAAACTCGCAAAAGTCAGCGCATTTTAGTGTTGTGTTCCACTTTACCGAGAAGCATTGTTGTTGTTGGCAGATCGGATCACAATTACTCTATATTTATCTGTTTTATTAAGTTCCACGTATTGTGAACTCAAAAAGTAAACCCCAGAAACGAGAATAAAAACGCGACCCGTACGTAATTAAGGCGCGTCAAAGATTTCATGTTAAATTTACGAACTCGTAAAATCTAATCTCGCGAGTTGTTTTGTGGTTGTCACAAGGATTGAAATGCTGATAATTGGATACGGAGCTCGTGTGACGGGCCAAAATTGCCTTTGAAGGATTATCTCGTAGTCGTGCCTTTGGTTTTGGGCCTGGACCCGGCGGCGGCAACACGCTGTCCTTATTTCTTGTTTATTTTGTTGTAATATTACGAACTGATGCATAATAAATATTTTTCGGAGCATCATACCGTAGATTATTATCGATTTTTGAGAGCCAAATACCGTTCATGGTATAGTAATTACCTATTCATGGGATAGTAATAGGCATAGTAGTTACCTATTACTATCCCATGAATAGGTAATTACTATACCTTACGGAACGGGGTTTATATTACAATATTAAATTTCGGCAATTGATGAATTATATATTTTATATACTATCTTGAAACAATTTTTTTCTAATAATAATTTTAAACCAATCGGGAAAAACATTGATTATTATTTTAAACAATACAATAAATTATATAATACTTACTGTTTTCCCCTTAGTTAGAATATGAAATAGCAAAAAGCCTTAGTACTGTGTGCTTATAAAATACGAGAAACTGATTCGGAGCAACGAGCAACAATCGATGTAATGAACACTCGTTTACGTGCTCAGCGGCTATATCACTATTCTTAGTACCAATAATGTGTCAAAAATAGACCATGGATAGCAAGGAGTATGCCAAGTATACAGAAATGAAGTATAAAAGCAATCAATCTGTTCTATAACCCAGTAATGAGCGTAATGAATTGAAAAACAAATCTATTATAAGTTAGCGACATTATAACGCCTGGTCATTCAACTCCATTTAATTGCAACGTCGCTTTTTTTCTTTTACAGGGAACACTATTTCTCTGTTTGGCAATTGACTATATGACCATAGATAGCATAAGTATTTTTTTTTATTCATACTATATTTTATACATTATACGCAAAGTGAGGCCATAATAATACACGAAACTTATCTTGAAAGTGTAAAGTATAACGATCTGAATCTCTTATCTCTAAAATTCAATATTTGCTCACGAAATCTTATCTATAATAGAGAAAAGACGCGAATCTTGGTCAGTGACGTGCCGCGTGACGTAAAGATGTCAGTTGTCATTTACTACGCGAGGGTACAGATAAAAAATACGCATTTATCCTCGCGTTAGCAACGATATTAAGAGCGGTAACATGATTAAAATCTTACCCTATTTTGCAAAAACTTTACGTATAATATTAGTCTTTTTAAAACAAGTTTTTAGTATATTTAGACACCTGCCCTATCTTAAATCAACAAAAAATAAGACAGTCAATTAAACAAATAGTTTAGCCCCGGAACACAGTTTGTTCTTGTCACACCACGCTTAATTCCTTCGTTTGCTTACTCTGATTATATTATACAGTGCATGATGTAACTGCTTTTATCGTTCGTTGCTATAGCACTAAACTTGAATTATGTTTTGAGACGGACCGCGATTTATAGCACAATATATAGTGTTGTTTTAATAAAAATAGTCGCGCTGTCCGGTCGTTATGTTTTTCGCGCTAGTGTATAAATTATGTATTATTGTAAATTGTTGAATATGTATGATACTGATTTTTACGTACAATAATTAAATGATAATTGAGGATAGAATACTTGACAAACTTTTATAATCGTTATATCAAGTTATCAAAAACTACGAACAACAATATAATAACTAAATATATTCTTGAGAACTATTCCTACGTTCTGAATAGGTAAAAATAAAAAAAAACAATCGCGAATCGGCTTCATGCACGAAGGATTATCTAAACAAAAAGATTGTATTATAGCTCTTATTATTCGCGGTAACAATAAATCATCTGCAAAAATCGTAACTGCCTGATTGTCAGCGAATTCTGAGGGTCGAAGTCTCCCTTAACTCACTGGGTACGGAACCCCAAAACAAACAATTACAGAATACCATTTAATTAGCATTTAAATTGCAGTAAGTAGCGCGTCTCAGATAAATCGTACCGATGTTTTTATTGTAATTGTCCACCTACGTAGTGGACAATTACAATAATAACCCGGCCTGGGGTCGGCGATCTAAACTGGATCCTTTCGTTCGCTAGGGGGCGGCTGGGCGGCACCATGTTAATAGTCAATAATTGATGCAAACTGCCAAGCCCCCATAGACAGCGCGCTCGCTGGCGCACTGTCAGGTCGCGCCCACGCCATCAAAAATAAACCCACTTTTATTATACGTTCAACAAAAAAGAGTTGTATCTATCGTCTATCGGCTTAAACAGCGTATTTTTTAACTGCAACAGTATGGGGTCACTAAGACGGTTGGGTATTATTGGAAAAGCTGTTCAGATTTCTTCATTTAATACATATGAATCGACACAACCTAAAAAACGTTCTTCTCATTATTATGGTCAAGCGTGACAAGAGAAACTTGTATTTAACGTGGTTTTCTAAAAAATAGAAATGGTTCTTAAGACTGCTTCCCTGTATCTACGGTTTCCGATTTTCCCAAATTGTCTCCGTTAAAAAAAAAAACAAAAATTATATGAACTGAATTTTATTTTATTTCATATCGACTCTCCTGTCTCTCAGTACTTTATTAGTGAGTTCGAATTCGCACCGAGATTTAATGATATAAAATAATCTTTGCAAAATACCAAAATTCAAAAACGCCAAGCATTCGCACAGCATAAAAATTAAGAAATTATTTGTCGCGTGACGCGTATGTTATTGGTTATACTTATTTCGCATTTTTTGGCAATGTAGAACAAATTGAAGTAAATAAAAACGTTAATTGTGTCACCCATTTAGCGTCGCGAAAGTGCAGCGACCGAGTAATTCAATCGAATAAAAACTTACCCAGTATATCTTGTAAGTGGCATGGCGAAGAATTATTTGATCGCGATCTCTACAATTCAGATGATACGATAGATAATATAATAATAATCTATACAATACGTTCAGATAATATTTTTAACTTTGTGGACCATTATATCTACTTTAACTTGGCCATACTACAATTTGTAGTTTTTAGGAAGTCAATAGACTAAATAGTTCCTGCTAATTTATTGGAGATTTGTAGAAGTTTATCTAGGTCAATGACCTTATCTATAAAATGACAGCAAATATTGCTTAAGATAAATCTTATATGAAAAATAACAATATAATATTTACGAAAAGGGATTGTAGTCCACAGTTAATATATCATAATACTGGGACATACACAAGCAATATTTAAGTACCTAAAGGTTTCAATTTTTATATACATAACCTAGTCATTGTATGGAATTCCGCATTAAACAGATTGGCAGCAACATATTCATATTTATCGCTCACAAGTTAGGCCTACAATGAGGGGGTGAAATATAAGCGAAAAATCTTGTGTGGCCTCAAGCTCCCGCTGGTTACCGAGTGTCGAGTTCTGGCTTCGCGCGTGTGCTGACTGGTCAACTACATCTTTCTTAGGAAATTGCTCACCTGAGTTGAAATTGCAGGAATTTAGATAAAAGAAGCAGAACGAATGCCAATGTATTCGGTTACAACGGTCGGCGCCTAAATACTTTGAGCATTCCGCAATGCTCGACTGCCGTGAGACGAAATAGGAATGTTCGCTTTCTTTAACAACTTTTTATTTGACGCGCTAGTAACACAACAAGGGAATCAAGTTCTGTTCACATCAGTTAAGTAAAAATGAAAAGAGCTTCTTAGTTTATCATTACTTATTGGGCTTTAACCTTACTAGATTGTGACGCTCCATAGGACCTAAAATACTTCTCAGTTTATCAAAGAGCACAACACCACGGTACACTGCTTGTAGAACTAGAATCTGTTTTAAAAATTGAAAATGATTTTGAAATAAAACACATTTGACCGTTTATAAAACCACTAATATAGTTTATGCATTGGGAACTGTAGAATGATGGCTACCTTATAATCACGACAGTAACGTACTACATAAGACGCGACATTGACCCTCGTTGGAGGTATTCAGCGATCGTGAAGTTGACATTCATTGTTTTATTAACCCCGGACGATAAGGCTGCGGTCTCCATTAAACACTGTAAAATAAGATAGAGTGAACATATGTTCATACAGAACGAACACAAGTTTCACATGTAAAGACTTATTCAACAAACATAAAATAAGAAGAATGAAAACGTATACAGATAAAATATAATAATATAGTTCTATAGAACCACTCAGCTACGTTGGGATTACGTGGCCACAGATTATCTATGTTGGGACACACAGATAATCTGGTGGCCACAGTAGATCCCGAACCGACTGGTGCACTTTAGTTTATTGAATCTGTGGACAGTCATCTCAAATCGACGTCTACAAGGCAGTTACTGATATCCTTAATACGATAACATAATTAGGGAGTCAACGTATATCTTTGTAATACTAAGTTACAAAGGAGACCACAACCTAACCTGCAATGCGATTATAACATTACAAGCGTGGTTTCAATTCGACTGTTTATTAAACAAATCACATATCAACCAAGCAATTATGCATTGAATTAAATATTTTATCTTTTAAATATCCTAAACTAGCTGTGTCATCGATTTTGTCCGCCTAGAATAATTATTTTTGTCATCCAAATTTGTTTCTGCAACTTGCTCATAAGAACATATTGAAATTTAAAAAGCATATAAAGATAGAGTCTTCAAACCGCCAATCTCCTATCTTAAAACTGAACGTTTTCGTTTGTTTGCTCGAAAAGCAGTCATAAACTGAAGTGTGAAATTGAATGACATGATTTCATAACAACAAACAAAAGAGATACGGAGAATAATCTATTTATAGCCTGATCGTGGTTCTGCGTAGTAGGCAATTCTCTGTTCTTGATAAAATTGTCTCTTTAATGACGAATGTTTTCGTAACGAAATAGCCTAAACGTTTCAAATTACAAGTGGTGTGATCACTTGCACAATCACTCACCAAACAAGACTTTTTCCCCCCATCAGCACTAGCACTTGTTACTGTGTCGTGTATTTTCTATGGTTTCCGTTTTTCTTGGAAAGCCCTGTCATCTACAATATTAGGTGACACACATAGATGTACATACTTAATTGGTGATTTTTATTTCCGTTGTCAACAATTCCAGTGAATTCATTTCATTATTTTATATCTATCATTTTGTATTAGTATATTTGGAGTGTTTAAATTAAAATTTAAGTTCATAACTTATTTTAACTCAATGCTTTTAGGCTTATTCTTATTATATAAGCTTATTACTTATAATATGAGCATTTTTTAATTGTACTTAGTTAGTTCAAAATTTGAGTCGACCACATTTTTTACCAGCCCTGCTTAAGAAAACTATAATAGTAATTGTGTTACTAAAACTACATGTCTTTCCAGGTATCTACTCACACAAGCATCTGGATACGTCTGAAGTAGAAGTTGTGACCCCAGTGAAAGTGACCCACGACGGTGAGCTGGTCTCCCACGAGCTGGATCATATTCACGAGCACGGACATTCAAGGGCACGCCGAGACCTTCGGGATACGGAGCATCATCTGCCACATACTGTTCATTATAACCTTACCCTTGCTGGACGGGATCTGAGGCTGGACCTTAGGTGAGTACAACTACTGATATACTCGAAGAAAGGAAAACCCTTATAATAACACATGTATATATAACACAGGAAAATACTCATGAGTACTTGAAAAGAACACTACTTACTTTTACAATATGTTCATACTACTGCACATGATGACACTTTATAAGTTTAAAATCGATTTTAGATAGAAAAAAAATTACGACACGGGCAGTACTTGAACCGGCATGCACAGTGTTCCGTGCCGTTTAAACCTCTGTTGTCCTTAAATTAAAGAATGGTATAGAATTAGAGAATAACAAGCGAACACTTTACAGTATAACATTAAACACACACGACAGCAGGTAGTTTTTCGCTTATAACAAAATTATCATGCCTATGAAGGATAAGGTGCATTGATACACGGTATTATATTTCGAGATAAAATTGCATCGCTAATACGTATCGGTTTCGACGATTCTTCTTAATTCGACGAGATCAGTGACCGTAGTACCTTTACACATGATAAAATAACAGAGCAAACGTAGTTTATAAAACTATAATCCGTGTACGTAACAACGAAAAATGAGACTTTATTATCTCATTTTTTTATGATAAACAGACAAGCGTAGGGTTCATTGCATAGTAGGCTGAATAACATCTAAACCAGGTGTGTCTACCTATTTTGGCTTTGAATATTCGGGAATCCACAGACTGAAATCTGTGGACGATAGTTCGTAAGTCGGACGAAATTACAATATTCATACCACCCATATTCAGATCTCTAGACGAAGTCCAACATGATTCAGAAAAATTATAAATTGATTAAAAATGTTGTACTCGGTAGGGATCAAATCCACAGTCAAGTTAAATATAAATTAAAATATTGTTTTTACACTACCTATAATAAAATAATGAAATATCATTTCTCAGTATATTTCGAGATTAGGTATGAAGTTTTTGTAGTCATACCTATTATATCCCATCCCATTTCGACCCACCACGCTATTCCAGTTTTGGCTGGTGCTTCTATCGACAGCGATGATAACTGGGAACGGCCTAACGTACTCTCTGAAAGGCTGGAGTGACAACATCAAACTCCGCTCTAAGTAACAGAAATTAAAAAAAAAACTTACGTTCGAACATGTATAACCCTGACCAGGAAAGCGGTTCCAAATTTTGCTCATTCAAATCTTTACTCTTCACTCTTGTTCTAGCGTGAGTAAAAAAACAAATATAACGCTATAATTGTACTATTACCTAATACCTGATAACAGGGGCCATGTGGAACTCTGATGGGGAGTGAAATTATCACTCGTTAATATTTGCTAACACAATGAATAATCTGTGTGCTTACTGCAATTTATACGTAATAATAATTTTAGTACGGACGTGGTTATATATCGGCTTCAAGCGCGGAACGCTGTGGATATCTGTTCAAGTCAAACTTATTCAATCTTACTAAATCGATTTTTATCCCTTTTATTTGTTTTTAGGTAACGGTAGGTTTTCTTATTATTACTAATTGGTAATATACTAGTAAATCTATTATTGGAAATAAATATATTCACTGAGCACTTTATAGAAATAATTAAAATTATGTTATGTTAAACTAATATAAGATATAAAAAAATGGCGTACCTGTAAGCAATTGAGTTTCATATCAGAGAAAATGGTTTATTATGAATTAGCTTAGTTCATAACGTTAAATGACCAATTCTAGTAGGTTAATGATAGAGTTCGTTTCTCATAGGAGTAGTCACATTTCTGAGTCCATTTCATGAATATTTTTTATACGAGTTCCGTGCTCAATTGAAGGTTTTCTTCATTGAAACTTTAACGACTGAAGAGCATTTTAAATGTCCTAATTAAAACTAAGTTAGGAAATATAGTTTGCCCGAGAGAAGAGTAGACCATCTAAAAACTCTAGTTAGTATATAAATCCAAGTCAATGACTATTAATTAGTAATTAGGAGGCGTCACTATAGAAGAGCAAACAGTAAATCATTTTAGAAATGAGTAACTGTTTATTATGACTATTTGGGTTGTAAAATGACGATTGAATGAATGACTCAAACAAACAGATCTGCGTTTATCTGACACAGTTTATTTGAACTTACAAAGTACGACCTTAAGTGTTTAAATTTCTCTCTATCTTCAAACGTAAGTGTTGTAATATGTGGTACGAATAACGTAGAAGAGATACAATATAAAATCAAGAGATTTATAAATACAAAATTAACACAACATTCTGACATTTTTTCTGCGATAAATGAGAAAATCTTAAAGAAACTGGCATTTCCTTGAACCAACCAATTCATAACATGTGTTAGTTCTGCTCTAGCAATAGGAGCTCTGATAATGAACAAATCAAGTTGTATTCAATAAACAAAAATCTTTTAAAACACTGTTGTAGACACCGTAAGTACTGCCCTTATCTCTTCGCAATTTGATTGCAGAGTTGCATAATTTAATGTTTATCTACATCTATAGATTGTTTAAATCCAGTTTCCCCCTCGTGGGGCATGGGGCGAACACATTTTTGTGTTCGTGTCTTAACTGATCCGTTCTTTAACAGGCAAGTAGTTGATGAGACTTCTGTGCCCTGCCCGACCGTAACCATTTTTTGTTTCCCTGGGATTCGAACTCATTAACTCTCGCGATTAACGCAATGCTAGACTATACGTTTTACAATTTAGCTACAGAGGCGGTCCATCTATAGGTATCAACGTATTATTAAAACTACTATCTATGCCTTTTTTTAACTGATGGTGTGACGTGGGGAGTGTGGTAAATCGTATAGTCAACCAGAACCACTAAACACACTACCAGCCCTCTACGGTGCTTTGGGGGAGCCCTGGGAACACGTTTGTACGACTCCAAAGCTCCCAGCACCACTATACTGTTTCAACTTCTTATATATTATTTTGAATGGAAAAATGTACGATTACTCGAAAGTTCTTTGTTAATACGATAAGTGTATTCAAAGCCCTCATCCGGTATACATAAATGGTATAATTGCAATGTTTTTTTTTTGTGGCGGGTAAACTACTGATATTTATCTGAGTCGATTGAGCTCACGCCCACGAAGGTTAACGAATGGGCTCCTCTAAAAACTTTAATAGGAATAATAAATCACGCCTGATGCTATCAAGCGATCTATGATAAGTTATTGTCTTCAATTCTATTGATTATTATTACTGTAACAGCTAAAGTGGCTAGGGAATCTTCATGATTACAAGCATTTGTGTCCGTATTAATGAATGGACCTTTTCTCGTTTACGCATTGATAGACGACTCGTTTTACCACTGAGCCTGGGTGGTGGTAATATTCTACTTGAATTATATATTATAAACTTTAAAAGGAAATGTTTACAATATGCTAGAGATCAGTGGCGCCACTGCGTGGTGGGATCCAGGCTCGTCTGTGTGATTGATTTTGTAGTCCTTTCAAATTACTTCAAAAGATCGTGCTTTCTTTATTCCGTTATAAGAGACAAACCTCTATAACATAGAGTTATTTGTTAGAACAATTTTAAGTTCAGCTCAGTATTCGGTTTTCACTGAGATTTGTCCAACCTTTAATTATATTTCTCCACCCTTTTGCCTGTTATCTGTACTAGAATTGAATTCTTATTCTTCTCAGAAACATGCAAACAAAGACACAGGCAAGAGCTAGTTTTGTATTTCTGATTTTTAGCTGTAATATAGCTTAGCGTTGTATGAACGGAATTTGCAGTTGTTACTTGGTACAACATTCAAATGGCGCAATAATATTAGTGTCAATTGGTATTTAGATCGATAGGCTAACAATCCATTGGCCAATAAAGACTAGATTAACATTCGACCAGTTAAAGTAGTTCATGTAACTAACATATATAGATTTACCAAAATTGATACGAAACAGACATATGAGAGTATATCAGTTCAATTTCCGAAAGGCGAATTTATTCCTTGAAAAAAATTATTGAGCTACAAGAGCTTTTAGTACACGTATCTGCGTGTCCTTGGCCTGTCCGACTAATTTTATTGATTACCGCACATACAAAACTACTTTATAGACCACGTAACGATTAACGCTATGTTTTTATTTTGTCTAAGCAAAATTAGTTTTATACATCGCATAAAACCTTGAAATGAATGCATCGGTCTGCGAACACTGTACAGTTTCTGGGAAATACAAATAAATCTTTTTCAATCCGCCTCCGACTGTCTGCTTTTAATATGTTTATGTAAAAATATATTTAATTATACCACTAGTAACTTATATTAGAAAATGTATAATTAAGAGGAAAACACGCAGAATTCAACTATATACGGAACGTTTCTACTAAAAGATTGTAATTCTATACTAGACAGTAACTTTGGTAAAAAGAAAACAATACAATATACAAACAATTAATCGTGTTATGTTATAAATACAATTTGTTTATTTCTTACAAGTTCTTGGCTATACGCCTACTCGTAAAAAGTTTATATATATTGTTAACTTTCTATTAAAATTGTGAGAATTTACAAGTAATATCTTTAATGCCGGCTTGTTGGTGTCATTAAGTTCAGTTTATATTTATAAAGCGAAATTTCAAAATATGCTATTAATTTTAGTAAGATTAAAAAATGATATTTCTAAATTTTAACACCATAACTTATGAACGAATAAACAGCTCCGTTCGTTACACGTTATAGCATAATATTGTTTATCTCATTCTTAATGCGTACAGGCTATCAATAAATATTTTACTTACTAAGTTATAAATTGTCACTTCACCGTCACCAACATTACTTCACTACATAAATTTTACTACATCACTTTTACATTGTATTTATTACCTTTTACTATCGCAGTTACACAATTTCCTTAATACCAACATCGCTAAGCCTTATCCAACCTAAGATATAATGAATTCCTAATCTAGACCCCAACAGCATTCCTGCAGCAGATAAAGCAATAAACGAATTGATAAAATCGACATTATCTAGCTTCAGACACCGGACAATGTCTGAACTAAGGCCTAAGATTAGAGACCGCCTTCGTGACT